TTATGATAGTGCCCGCGTGCCCAAACCGAAGCAGGTGGCTTTCTTAGGAGGCCACACCCGGAGCCTTCGACCTAAAGGTCTGATCCATAAGGCAGTGGAGCGACGTCAGGAGATTCAGTCCCATGGTAGTCAGTGACCAACAATTGGTTCATACGTCACTTGTTCCTTCAGGATACTGGAGCCCATGTGCACCATTGGTTTGGAATGAGGGTTTTCCAAATCCCCTAGGTGGACTTTCCATATCCGCCAACCCGGTTAAAGCGTCGGACACTCGCTCTTCGTCCTCTCAATTTCGTTAACAACACCCCCGCCTTTAGAAGGCAGAGTAGGACTTCCCTGACAGTTGCTGTATACGCTTGGCCATGTGAGAGCATTTCGAGAGGGAGATCCGACTCTCCCCACCCTCGGTCGTACCAGGGCACTTAGAGTCTCAGTTAATACAGATTGCTATCTTCCTTTTGAAGCTCTTATCTAAAGCTAACTGATCCTCATAGGCATGTATAAACGTACTGTATTGAATTTCATGGGATTATTGTTATTAGTGATTGTAAACGTTGGGTGATATAGCCCGAAATTCGTTGCAATAGCCCAGATAAATCTACTTTTTATCCTTACTTTTAAAACTGCGAGTTCAATTTTTTAACGAATCCTATTCTTCTTGCAGAATGCTATCCATTACTTATACTTTTCTGGGATTTATCTTCATAATTTCATCTTGTTTTGCTGATATTATGATGTGATGGTAATTGGAACTGATGCACATATGCATCATATTCTAGGTTGCTTATGGGCTATCTTTCAGTTTGGAGACATCAGTTCATTCAAGACTATAGATGCATATCGCATATGACTGTCAACTAGTAAAAACATAGATATAACGTCTTTTACCGATTGTCTTCAATCATATAATGCTAAATAATATGCATCGCAGTATTTAGGTAGAGTTTTGTCCTCTGAGCTGGATGGTTTGGTTGTGGAGCTTTCATCGTTCTTCCGAACGACATCATTCTATATTGTACCAAAATATAATATTGAATAAAGCCATTAATAATAATAATAACAATAATAATAATAATAATAATAATAATAATAATAATAATAATAATAATAATAAATTCCAGGTAGAAGTGAAGTGTTCGAATTTCTCTATGTGTGGTTCACAGTTTGTCCCGTAGACCTCGAGGTTGACTGGTTCTTGTTGACATTAAACCTGTCATTGTTTACTTAGTTTTTTGGTTGTATCTCTTATTGGTTTGATTTTCGTTCCTATGTTTGTCCGTAATTTTCCTGATTGGTTGATAAATCGGATCAATTTCAGTGTGTTTTTTTATTTCCGATTGATCTGAGTGCCAAGCTTCTAAAGACTTTTCGGTGTTTTTATAATTGCTTCCATCAGAGATCTCAACATTTTCCCAGTCGAATATGTGTCCGCAGTTGTTCATGTGCATTGATTTAAGTGAGGAAATGTCATGGCGTTTGACCGGTAATTGATGTTCATTCAGACGAAGATGAAGGGGTGGGGTTCAGTTTATTCGATGTAGTGTTTTCCGCAGTCGGAACAGTTTATTTTGTAGATGATGTTCAGTTTTTCTTTTTTCATTTTATACTTTGGTTTTCATAGGATTGATTGAAGTGATTTTGCTGATTTGTGTGCTACACATATTCCAAACGGCTTGAATAATCTCATTGTAATTCCTGATGCGTCTTTTATATGTGGTAAGATGATCCGTTTATTTATTAGTGTACTTGATTTCGTTTCTGCCGATGTATCGGGTTGATATTCTTGATGAAGCTATATGGGTAGCCATTCTTTTGAAGGGTAGTCATTAGATATTTTTCTCCATTTTTCATTGCTGCATTGTGTTCTCACCCTCCTGAATGAAGTTTGTGGGCAGTTGATTTAATTAGTTCTTGGTTTGTTGTTACTGTAATTGAGAATTTGATCGGTGTGGGTTGGTATCCGATACACTTGGGTCTCCGAACTTTCTGTGTCAGTTCTGGTGATTGGTACATGGAAGAATTATAACTTGTTGTTCGGCTCGTTCTCCATTGTGAGTTATTATGTCATGGAAGATATTGTTGATGAGATGTAAGCGTTTTTCAGCTCTTCTTTTTTCGACTCTGACGAATGTGTTGTCCACAAAATGAATTCATGTTTTTGGTTTGATCATTTGTAAGATGGGGGATTCCAGTCTTTGCATCATTACTTCTGCAGTATGTCCTGATATTAGTGATCCGATTGGTGTCCCTTTCGTTTGTTGGTAGATTTTATTGTTTAATTGGAAGTATATTGTTAAGCCTTCCTGAATCGATGAGTCCTATTAAGCTTATACTTGAAGCTTTGTTCACTTTGGTAGATTTGTGTCGTTGATGAGGAGGAAGCAGTGATAGAGAGTTTGTTGTGCTATGCTTCGTTACATTGAAGGGTAGCATCAGTTCTTCGTTGTTGATTTGAAACTCCTTAACGTTATTCAAGAATTGTATGGGAGATTTGATGGAGTTGCTGGATGAATCCACTAAATATCTCAATATTCTTATATTAAATACTTGCAACCTACACGTTTTCCACTTTCGAAACCTGTGTTCATCATGTAACACATAACTGGACTGCCTCATGGTATGGTTGCCCTTAGATAATATTCTGTTATCTTTTATTCGATTTCATGCTGCAAAAACCTGGCTTGACTAACTTTCTCAAGTAATTTTGGACCGCTTAATATGACTTCCAGTTGATTTGTTTAATAGTACGACGTCCGGATTCACTTATACCTAGAGCTGGTAGTCTTGTACCGTGTATATAGATGTTTCGCTGTAAAACATACTAGCGATATATGAATAACCATTAACATTCTCACCTTTTGCAGCAGTCCTTATCTACTGAATTTCTACAAATTCGAATAATTTTGCATTTTTCGTAGTATAGAATACTTGAGCTAAAAAAAACTATGCGAAACCTGGGTGTTCTAAGCAGCTGGAAATCCTCAATAATACATACCACAACCCCATTGAGGATCAAACCTAGGACCTTCAGACCATTGAGTTTAGATCCAACAGTTTATATTCCTCAGCCATCAAGACGTGATCATCGATCATTACCGTGATATTTGTTTCGTGCTAGGATGTATGCCAACAGCTATACAGTGTTTCCGGTCTATCATTGGTTGTGTGATATACCTTGAATTGTGTGAAGAAAAGTAAGTAGCTGGAGCATTTCATATCATACCAAATTTCCTTACCTGAGCATTTATCTAAACAACCACACTTAGCTTTACCTTACCCATTTCATACACATAAATCTCAACTCTACTCATTCATATTACAAGCTGCACATTATTCAGATCCACTGTCATATTATCGTTTCACATAGAATCACATGAATGACATAATCAGATCTGTTTTGATTGAAATAACTATTCTACCTTCATCCTCCATATTATTTAAACCTGCGATCAGTTATCACAAATATATATTTAATCACTGTGTAAAGTTATCATATATAACAAGGTTTAGAGAATTCTAGCTTTCATTTAATATACAGATATAACTTGACTCCTTTTTCTGCATTCCTTTCATAGATTTGAATCACATCGTAGTACATGTGAAGCGGCAGCAACAACAACAAGTGATAATATGGAAGAGTCAATACATCCTATAGAATCAGATCAAAGTGTTGTTTCTAGTCCAAATAGTACTGAAGCTTCTGATTTACCTTGTTCCAATGTTGATTTACCTTTAGAATTTTTAGAAACTATGAAAACATCAAATGATAAATGTGTTGTTACTAAAAGTCAAACTACATAAAGAATAAAAAGTGTGTGTGTGTGCATGTGTCTGTCTGTTTGTATTTTCCTCTTTTGTACTTCTCCTTCAAAGATATTGATGTATATTTTCTCATACCTATCTATCTATATATATTTGTTATCATTATTAATACTATGAATTCTTTATTGGTATTTAAATATTATTACAATGATCATTTTCACTATAATCATTATTATAATCACATATGTCTTGTCCGTATACTTTGTCATTTACACACCATCCTTGATGTTTATTAAGGAGGAAACAAGAACTAGGCGAACAAAATCTACATTACTCCTCTCTTTGTACAATTCCTCATTTTATGATATATATATATATATATTTGTGTATAATATTTCTAAAATAAGATTATATTATCGTATAATTCATATTATATCAAAATCAAAATGTATCGTGTTCAGAAATCCGTTCCGCTATCATTCTGCCCGTTTTATTTACCTAACTGGGTAGTATTATTGGCTCTTAACACCTAGATCAGTCAGTCAGTTAGTAACAATGTAAAACTTCGTACGTACGTATATCAGTTCGAATTGCCGTATCAGATTAGCACAGAAATGCAGTTGTCGATTCAAATCCCATAGTGGTAGAGGTAGTAAGAGTATAAGCAGTAATCGGAAAGATTAGGATTTGAAGATGTTATTCAAGAAATGTAATCCAGTGAGATAAATTTAGAAAGAAAAAATAAGGGACGTGAATTCAGATTAGAATTTGGGAGAACACAAAGAATGGATGCATCTACGCTATTGCAAACGATTTTGAGCCATGTCACTTTCAAGGTCTCTAACTATCGGTTGCTATCGTCTCGCAGATCCCAACCAGGTGGTTAGTCTACACCTACTGACATGTCTCAGTCCACTTGTCGGTGACTTCATAGGTTTGTGCCACTTTTTGGTCTGGCCGCCCCTAGCTTTCTTCCAACCAACTCCTACACTAGAAAACATCGCACGTCGGGGCATACGTAACACATGTCCCAGCCATTTCAACTGATGACCTTTCACTACTTCAATTGATTTGCCATCCTTACCTAGTACCCGTTTCCTTAGGCACGAAGTTATTTATGTCAATGTAACTGAACGTTAAATCAAGGGGGTGGGATAGTTTTTCTTTAAGTCTTATTAAATACACAAATTTCGGCAACAACGGTACCAAAGAAATATACAATCATATCAGACCAAACTCCTGGCGCTTAAACAGGGTCGTTAAATACCGAAAGTCCAGATTCCGAACCAGTAGTGTGCATTGCCTTTGGAATACTGAGTGGACGAATGCCGTAGAAATTTAATTTGGTCAATTGCATTAATGTAATGAGAAGACGTAGTTTATCAAAATTATGTGATATATTTGCGTAATACATTTCGAACAACCTGGTCACACATATACTTGTTAAGACATCTTTATATGAAAATTAAAAGGTCAACTACACAGATTAAAGATAAGCCGTAACAAAGAAAAAATGATAATAATAATGTGATTACCACTGAATAATAGATCAATATTACCAGGGTAAGGATAAATTGTTTCTGGACGCACAAACAGCGTTTCAGCTTCCGTATAGCCAAGGCTTTAATAAACTTTAGTTTAAGCCCTTGAAGGCTTTTGTATAACACCACAAATACTGATTTGATGTCAACCTGATGACTAGTTTCAATCAAATGTTTCACAATCGAGGATGATGTCTGTCTATCCTGTGATCTTATTTGACCATTGGAATTCATTTGCTTCTGTAGCCATTTTGGTCACAATGGACGTTATCCCACTGCTTTATGTATTCAGCCATCACCCCCTCCCCTTGAGTGGAAGGTTTGATGAGTGAACTCCTGAGGAAGTTATTTCTTTCAATTTGAACACCCAAGGTAGTATCATCACTACCTTACGCAGAAATATGTTCATGAGAATCTACTCCATTCATGTGGGTTAGCTACCCATTCACATGATACAATGAAGAGAAAAAAAGAGACTTATTTGGAATTATTACTTTTTGTACAAATTAGTATGAACATAAATAAAATTAAAAAAAAATAAACAAACATTCCATATACTCATTAGTTTATGATTGAAAACTTCGTTTAGATTGTATTTCATCTAATAATTGTTGTAATTCTTCTTCTGTAAATCGTGGACTATCTAAACTTGGTAATAATGCTTTACTTTCTTCTGCTGTATCCGGTAATAAATTAGCTAATGAAGCTAATTCAAAATTATGAAATCGTTTTTGTGTTAAAAGGCTGAAAAAAATAAAATAAAATTTATCAATAATAAACACTTTCTTTATTTTAAACTTACTTTCGTACACTTTCAATGGTTTCACGATTATTAAATTTAGAAAATTGTGTTACATAATTTAATGTTTTTGTAAATACTGGTGATAATTCAAGTTCATGGATTGTTGCATTTTCATTTTGTTCTTTTCTGTGTAATTTAAAAGTAAAATATTAAAAATTAACTTATTTTTAGTTATAGCTATAGTAGTTTACACATTATACAATGATTCTTTCGGATAATATTAATATTAGGATATTTTATTGCCCCTAAATGCCCTGGTACGACCGAGGATAGGGAGAGTCAACTCTCTCCATATGCTGTCACATGGCCATGTGCATAAAACCACTACCAGAGAAGTTCTACTCACTGCCTTCTAGCACCACAGGTGTTGATTACGAAATTGAGAAGACGAAAAGCGAATGCCTGGCGCTTTAACCTAGTTGGTGGACATGGAGAGTCCATCTAGGAGATTTGGAAAACCCTCATTCCAAACCAATAGTGCACATGGGCTCCAGTATCCTGAAGGAACAAATGGCGTATGAACCAATCGTTGGTCACCGGCTACCATGGGACTGCATCTCCTCACGATGCCCCACTGCCTTGTGGACCAGACCCTCAGGTCAAAGCCTCGGGGCGTGGCCCCCTAAGAAAGCCACCTGCTTCGGTTTTGGCACCCAAGCAGTATCACAGCCCTTACACATATCAAATGAGATTTGTGTGACGCATATATATTTGGTGCCTCCTTGTACCGATATCTATATGTTCAAATAATAAATGAAGTCAAATGGAACGTAGAACCTAGGGTGGATCCTAGAGAAGTACTAAAATGTTTGGTGGTAATAGGAAAAACTGCATCGAAAATAAGACTCTAGAAAACAAAAAAATCAAAGAAAAATATCGACCCCAGTTTCTACCTAAACATAGTGGTTGGGCTTGCCTATCGTGATGATCCGACTGAGCTATATTGGTTGAAAAACTTGTTTTTTAGGTCCTAAGATGCCAGGTAGGTTAATTGGAGGGCAATAAGAATAAAAGCAGCAGACCTGTGGTGAGACTATGAAGTCGTACTGCTGAATGTCATGAACTGTGATGGAAGCAAATTGTGTTCCTTAGACAACCAATTTTTTTTAGTGATGCCATCTCACAACGGATGGAAGGGGTTATGAAATGTCAGCTATAAAAATGTTATGTCACGTTATCCAACGGATTTCTATCTAATGCGTTAAGGCCTTTTTAAGCACGAATTTAACACGTTTCTAACTCATCCATAGGAAGACTGTAAGACCAGCATCAAAAAGTCGTCTGTTAGGCCCTGTGGTCAAGCCAACAGACCTACACAATCATTACTAACCCAGTTCCCTCTTCATACCTCTCAAGAAGAAATATCAGGAAGTTACCTTCCTCCGTACGTGTAACGGTGCATAAGATTTTCTTGTTTATAATCAGTTTAGGTATCCCCAAAACTTAAAAACTGAGTTTTGGTGAGGACCTAAGTTAGACAGTCACCTGTAGTAACACGAAATTAAAAATGTTTACCAAAAAGAACTTTCCCTGCAGGTCGATAACTTTGTAGAGGAATAAAATACATGAGGCAGTAGAATACTAAGTTGCAGGGATGATCGGCAACACGTCTGATAATAATTAATAGTCTTATAAAGATTTAAGAGGATTTCAGAAGAAAACACAGCTATCTTTCTGTTTAGACTATACATAGACCGTTATCTGAGTGACTAATGAATAGAAACCTAAGGACTGATAAAATCTTCAAGCCTTGAGCGTTAACACTTTGTAGTTCGATATGCTATTCCAGTCACCGCTGTTAGTCTAGGAATTCATGCATCTTGAGCAACATTCTGAGAAGTACCTTGTTAAAAGTTCACCAAATGTCTTTGTACATATGTTTCCCATAAAGTTGTCAAATGTCAGTTAATTTAGACAGATCTTCCAAAACGACCTACTGAAAATACAATCTGCGGTCTGGACCGAAATGAGTACCGATGAATATTGAAAAACCACATGTTTAAGTATGCTCATTTACGTAACCAAAATGAAATGCAATATGTTTCGATGATAAACCATTTCTAAGGTGATAAAAACTGCGAAGTAATGTAATATTATACCAAATAATCAAGTCTATTACCAAACGAGTAAAACTAAGACAAACCTATGTTCCAACAATATTTTAACTTCAGCAAGCATAAGTGTATCGGCATTCTCAAAATCTGGAAGATGTTTAATTCAAATAGGAAAATACCTTTAGAGAATTTCAATTCAGATGCATCGAAATCATCAGCCACTGCGTGCATTTGCGACATCTTAAACACAAGGTAACGCACAACACTAAATTTGAAACGCGCGCAGTGTAGTTGCCTCGCTTTGTTAATCAATCACCTTGATAACAGTTATTATGTAAATCTTAACGATGTTTGAAATCAGAAGGCAATAAGAAGCGGTAACTACAGTTTATAAGCGGATATTTAAGATCACAAAGCTATAAGGAAATCGAGAGATTTTGAAGCAGAGAGGCGAATGTGTGTGATCAGATACAGAGGCAAATCTATAGTCACAACAAAGCAAAGGGTAATAATAGGATTCGCACACATATATACATGGGAAAGAGAATGAATCATCGAGCGATATTTCGGCGCTTAACATTCTAGCTAGTCTGTCATGTGACCAAGCCCATATGTTTGTAGTGACTCACATTTATCACGAGAACACGACTGGTTTAATAAAAACAATTATTATTATAACCTACTGTACCAGTGCTTGTTTTAACGTGCTTTTGTTCGACTGTGCTAATGACAGCTATATTTTGCTTCCATTCTTATACACACACTTTGATTGTAACTTCGCGCGAATTCGGTTACGTTCTGTAACCAAGGTTGTATCCTGGCACGATCTCGGTATCCTTTCGATACCACGAGATCGCCAGCAAATATATATCTCGATTTAGTCCATTAATTGCCTTCTGGTATTTGGCTTCTCGGGGATTTTATGGATTTATTTGGTTACGTTCTACTTTCGCCTTCTGATCTACTTGGCACGTGTTTCTTGGTAGCGGTGTTCATAGTCAACCGCGACTCGATACCACGCTACATGTTTATACAGTTATGGTAGCGCTCATAAAAGTACAAAGAAACATGCGAATTGTTACTGTTCGAATAACACTGTCTGTTATGTAAGTTCATAAGAGGGCTTAACCGAAATTATCCACAATCAAAATTGGTTGTAGAAGAGTTGCTAGAGTAGCGGTAAGTAAATCCTTGGAGAAGTCTAGACAAGTTAGCTGGACGAAACGTTGGAATTAGTTATATTTCAATCGCTGAGAATATTTCAAATATAATTTTCACATATAACGACTTGAAATGAATAGTTCTGTAATTTTTAAAAATTAGTGAATAACTTACTAGTTTTAATGGAAACACCTGGCTGGAAGAGCTCGGTCACACATCGGCACCAAATTACGAGTGCGTCGTCGTGATGTGCATCCTTTGCGAATGTTACCTAATTCACATTAAACCCTTCCCTATACACCGATAGTCTTCTAAACATATTCACGAACTTTCCCATTTCTGACTTCTGGTTTTACTGGTTTGGCAGACCTCCATTACAATGAAGTTACGATAAAATGCCTTTTAAATCTCTGAACACCTATGACATATTTGATGATGAGACTGACATCGTAGCGGTAAATAAATCCCCAAAATTAATAGCTCTATAAGTCTTCGTTATTGGATGCTGACCACATTAGCTTTAATGAGCTCACCTAGCTGAAGGCGATCGGTCATGTATCCGCACCAGATCACGAGTGAAGACGACGTGCTCAACAACCCCTGCATTGCTAGCCAGATTATATCAGACGATCCTCGATATATTGATAGCCTATCAAATATATCTTCGAACCTCCTCGCTTCTGTCTTTAGATTTCACTTGGTGGGTATGATTCATAGTAGAATGTGCTACTGGTTAAAACGTTGTCAAACTCCGAATACTTGTGACATCTTCAACGTTATCTGGTACATCAAACAGTGAACTATTAGTCTGTTCCTCGTTTGAAAACTATATATCATTTTTTAACTTTTCTTTTTACATATTGTGGTATTGTTTTGATATTTACAGATATATTTTCACCTTTAGCATATCTTATCTTCATCATGACTGAACAGATACTCAGGTTACTTGAGACACTTTCACCTCCCGAAATTCAGCTCATGCAGTTCTTGACCAGAGATATAGGAGACTGATTTCGTTACGCAGCTGATTTCCTCGAGAGTGACTGGCAGACACACGTGCACAATTCCTCAAGGTGGTGGTGGAACTACTGTGCGATTTTAACAGGTGCGTCACACCATGCATGTTTACTAGTGAGGTTTTGGGATGTTACGACACTTTGAACAAGGCCTATCTGATACAAAAAAGGTCAGACCGATTCTTGATTAACATTTAGGGCTGCGACATGGCTTAGAAACAGACATGTTGCTACAAATGTGAAAGGTTATTGGTCAACGAACCTTTGACGAGAACCTGTTTAGACAGCACTTCTTTTCTAAGCTTCCTTAACAGGTTCAGGATGTGCTTGCTTCATTTAAAAAGAACACTATACACGACCAGACTGCATCTACCGACTGGATTATGAAGATCACCTGAACCAGCAGGGACGGGGTTTGTTCCATTAAAGAAAAGCGTTAAACAACACAAAAGACATCACAAACCTTTGTCTTGCCCTGACTCGTTATCGTACCATTTATAGCAATGGTAGATGCTCCAGCACTTCCGGAAGAAGTTCGTCACAAAAACAGCTTGTCTTTAGATTACGAGGGCAGATAATCGTGATTGGTGCTGTTACTACAATAAATGTGGTAGGTCCTCTAGAAATCGCAGAAAGCCCTGACGTTTGTCAACATCCAAACCGTCCGACAGGAAAACGTTTTGAGAAAATTCCACGACGGCACACGTTGACGGAAACCGTAGCCCGAAAACATAGATGTCTATAGTACAGCACTGATGTGATGGCGAAAGCTAGCTACCTTGTCGATACGGGCACTGAACTTAAGGTTCTCCCAGCAAGTTTTAACGGCCGACTGCACGAACCGGCCGACAACTTACAATCGGCAAACGGAAACTGATTGCCACACATGGTAATGATAATCACGCCAACTTATGAGACATGCTTCATATACTTCTGATCCAAATTGAAGATAGTAATCCAGGGATGAGCATGAATTTGTCAAGCTGTGGTGCGTGCTAATTATATTGATATAAGTAGTATATAACGTGAATTAAAAGAACGTAATGTCTGGCAGCAGAAGATGGGGAAGATCAAGAAAGGAAGAGCGAGAACACAATGGAATTTGTAAGAAATCGCATGAACAATGAAATGTGAGACAATGGATTGATGTTTACAACAGCAACAGTCAGGTTTGATATTATGGAATGATATTTTGCAAATTAACGATTTACTATATGGTTTTTCTATTTTACCAAGTAACTCTGTAATTTTGTGCTAAATACAATTTGGTTGTCCTCACCTGTGTTCTCCTTCACTACAAAGCCACACTCAAAGGCATCCACTGATGGGGCTGTGGTCACTTTGGCTGGGAATACATCCCAAATTAGGGGAACTCTTGGTGAGAAAAAGTGGAAGCGCACTTGTGTGTTCGTTCCTTGATAAGCATTCTTTCGACAGTCGCCTGCAGCAGCTTAGTGATTATGTTTTAGTAATACAGTGCTTAGGTGATGTTTTATGGTCATTATAATTCCAGGAGTTGTAGTCTGCTCGTAAGATTTATTTTTCGGACCCATAGCCTACTTGGTTGTCCGTCTTTATACCTTATCTGAGAGCTTTATGTCTAGTGAAGAGAGAGGACGCAACAATATTGTAGACTTCAGGTTGGTGCTGCACGTAGGCTTTAAACAGTGTTAGATCAACTCCAAAGTGATCGCGTCAAGTTGCCTTTTAATAATGTGGAGCGTTGTGCTTACCTTGACTGCATCTCTGGTGTTTGAGCTATCCGTGGTTACAAGCCTGATATCATGCTCTGAGGAGACAATCGACAGAGGATTTCCATGGTAGGTGTAAGTGCTAATGAAGCAGTATTCATGATATGACACTCCGCCGGGCTAAGTTTCAACCCATTGTCTACTGCACATTCTTCTGTTGCTGTAAGGTCGTTTATATTATTATTATTATATCCTAATAAGAGTAATGAATAGTAACTGTTGGAATCTATTTCTGGACCAATACTATGCGTATATTTTTGTCGTATTAGTGTTAAGTGACTAAACTATTCATATACGTGCTCTTATCATAAGCTTTATTTTGACTTATGAACTATTATTGTAGGATTTACCATTCTTGAATTATGCTCTGTCCATTAATTACTACCTCTCACACTCACAGCCACATTTCGATAAATCTTGTACAAATATTGCTTCCGATTTTATGGTACGATATTGTCTGTCGAGTTGGTATACAAACCGAGTATGTCTGAAATAAAGTATTCATATTGCAGAAGCTGAGATTGGTTTTCTGGACTAAACTGGCTGGGCTAGGCAGGAAGCAGGACCGATAAGTACTACAGACTGCTTGTACGGATTTTATGAGCCACTGGTCCGATCGATAAATCACTGTTCTCTAACTTTCGGTATCATCACGTTGTACAATAACAGAGCACACACGCCACAAGTGAGTTCTCTACGCCTTTTACGGACTTCTAGATCTTTTCGTCATCTGCACAGATCAGTGTTCTCGAGCAATTTTTATCTAACAGGTCTTTAAGAGAGATCAATAACATGAGCGAACCTAAGTTTGTTTATTGTGAATCTCTTGACACTGAAACCTTTGGTGGTATTGGTCCCTGATCACTCGATCTTTGACTATTAAAATACTGGGAAGATTTACATTCATCACGTAACACATGGAGAAGGTCAAAATTGTGGGCATGGTAGCACAGAATTAAACGGCATGGCTCGACCATGTAGGCTTGGTTGCTCTATGTGACCTATCGCTTTTTGTTTTAAATCTATAACTCCATTCCCATTAAAAGTGTGTCCTTCAGTAGTGCTAGACGTCGTATTTTCCTGATTGTCACGATATGACGTGTCATTGTAAGCTTTGATTGATTTCCATGTAAGAGCTTATGTATTAGGCAGTCACGTCATGACAAATCTACAATTTTAGGATCTGGTTCATCATTACAGTGACAGAGATAATTGTACTAAAAACGAATTAGGACATAAATGTTGACATATTCTCAGACAATATGTTCTAAATCGGTGGTGAAAATTAAACATATTAGCACCAAAACAACCATTCATAGTACGATAAGTCATTATTAGATCACGTTGTAATTTGCGAAAATATGGCAGGAA